CCCATTATATCAGTTTATGTAATATTTAATTAAATTGCAAAATTACAAGAGCAAGTATTAATAAAATAAACAAGACTGTGACCAAACACCACGGTTAAGCGTGCACCTGAGCTGATAAAAGCAAAGCACACCCATTTATTATGATGACAGTTATTTGCCACAGTGGTCTCTGAGCTCTGAGCAACAACGGGTTCGTGTTTCAGAGGGAAAGGAGAGCACCGGTTAAGCCCATGAGCTGTTTTAGTGTTGGTGGATACTCCATTACCTAGGATGGAGCGGTATGCATGCAGAGGGTGTAGAGGCGATTAAGTGTCTATTAGACAACCCAACACAACCTCAACTGTCCCCAAAAGGAAGTCTTCCATATGTCTACTTCTTCAAAAGAGGCAAGGATGTGTTCCCATAAAGATAGGTATACCCTCCTGCCTTTATAAAAGCTTTACCATCCTACTCATCTTTCGAGAGTCAGCTCAAACGTGTCCTGCTCTATAAATTCTTCCCTAAGCCTTGACTCCCCAGAGTGCCTACATGCTCTCTCTCCTTCAATTTCCAACATACTTATCTATCTCTTACAGTGCTTATAACTGGTATTACATAGCTAGTTACACAATGTATTTTCTTCCGTATGAGGCTGTAGGCTGCTTGTGTTTTTACATCTCCTACAGCCACCAGCACAGGAAAAGAGGGGCTCGGGACACAATCTTTGCACAAACCTGTAATAAGAAGTTCAAGAAATATTTATTAAGTAAATAATGAATGAGCACATTGATTAAATAATTAAGTAAAGGTGTGTAACTTCCTACCTGGCTATAGAGCAATGCACCTCTTTCTTCAATGTGCAGCAAGGAAGGGGGATGAGAATCTGATGGGGCAGAGCGGTAGGCAAAGGAAGAAAATCAACTCCTCTGGGTGGCTAGCAGCTATCAGAAATCATGACTCTCCTCCACGTGTTTAACAGAGATCACTTTCAAATAGGACATTGTTAGATAATGACACTTCCTGATGTCCTCTGATGTAGAACAAATTAAAAACAGAGAGAAAAATCTTTGTACTCAAAACATCCCATTGTCTTCAAGTGTGGATTTGGTTTTTCTCAATTAAATTATTATACCACTTGAATGGGTTTTTAGATATCCTAGAAACTACTCATAAGAACATAGCTTCCAAATTGGCGATTTTTAAAAGCAAAGCCATGGGTTAGGTAAGGAATGCATAAACAACCCCCAAAGCGGCACTGAATACTTTTTTTTGGCCGTATACGACTGAAAAACTGCCAAGTTCATTTTGATAAGCCTTTGTTAAAAACAATAAACATGCCTGAGCTTGCAAACCATGCCGTTCTGAAGAAAAAGCAATTGAGAAAATTAGAAAATGCTTAAAACTGCGATGTCTGATTAAAAAGAAAAACCTCTGTGGTAACGGATTTACCAATAAGTCACAACACTGTGTCTCCTATTAATATGGAGCAGGGGACAAAATGTAAAGTGAGACAAAATAAAAGCAGAACACCATCTTCATAAATAAATAAGAAGCTACATCTTAAAACTAATATAATTACAGTCCACAACACTGACACAGGGGCACCAACACGATTGAGAAAACTAATCCTCCCATGCTTCATTAAGTTCAATGTCACCACAATGATGTTCTTGCATTAAAGGAAGTGTAATTTCAGGGACTCCGAATGAACATACATAAAATAACCAAGTGTGGGAATTTCTATTCACATAGAGTTCACGTATGTCAGTTCATAAAAGTTAAAGTAACTTTAACTGAATTTATTTTTGTTTTTCACTGATTATAAAATCAGCAGAATCACAGTATTGGAAGGAAGATAATTTGGAATATTTACATCCATTTCCCTACTTTAGGCAAAACTGAAATTCTCTTCTATCTGCCAAACAAAATCCTAGAATTCTAATGAATTAATTGTAACTTGAGGTCCACAGGATCAAAGTTCTCTGTTTTGTTCACTGACATACCTCAAGTGCCCAGAACAGCACTGGGCACATAGTAGGCACTCAATAAATACCTATTAAATGAAAGTAAATTGAAAGACATAAAAAATGTGCAATGTAATGCTAAAATGCTAAATAAGTCTGTTTAAAATTCCTTTCTTAGCTCTGTTATAGGTTATGGTATTAATCATAACACACAAATTGTCCTCATATAAGCCACTTTTCTCAAGCCGGCTCCAAAGTCACAAATCACACTTTTAACTGTAACCAACCACCACCACAGGGAGGTAAGAATCGGAAAAGACTTCAAAGAGAGATGAGGGTAAATTTCATCCATATGTTTTGATTTTGATTACTTTTCTTCTCCTGGAAGTTCATCTGGGGTGTATCTGCATATTCATCTTTGTATTATTATTTAAAGACATGTATTTAAGAATGTGTTATTTAAAATTAAGGGTTTGGGGGCTTCCCTGGTGGCGCAGTGGTTGAGAGTCTGCCTGCCGATGCAGGGGACACGGGTTCCTGCCCCGGTCCGGGAAGATCCCACATGCTGCGGAGCGGCTAGGCCCGTGAGCTGTGGCCGCTGAGCCTGCGCGTCTGGAGCCTGTGCTCCGCAACGGGAGAGGCCACAAGAATGAGAGGCCCACGTGCCTCAAAAAAAAAAAAAAAAATGAAGGGTTTGTATTTTTTAAAATTATACTACAAAGGTGGTTTGACTAAATCAACCCCTCATCTATTTCAGAATCCCACCAGTTTAAATAAATAAATAAATAAATAAGAAGAACAGGAAAATGACATGATTAGGTGATTCTAGTCATCATTTTTGCTCAAAATGCCTGGAAGCAATATGCTTTGAAAATTGAATGGAGTTGGAAGCAGAGGGCCTGGATTCTGGTGTTGGCTCCATCACCAAAGAGCTTAACCAATCCTTGCTAACAGGAAACTGAGCTTCCCAGGCTGTAAGGTGAAGAGTTTGGCATGATGACCTCTAAAAACCTGTACAATTTTCAAGATCCTGTGATTATAAGTGACCAAATCCAGTCACTTAATTACTACTCCCTGGGAGGGTCAGACACCATTGGCTTAGTTTGACATGACATTTATAGGGGGAGAGGGGAGTAAACTATGCAGCGGCAGTTGATTTTAAAAGCTAGTGATCTCGGGGGACTTCCCTGGTGGCACAGTGGTTAAGAATCCACCTGCCAATGCAGGGGACATGGGTTCAAGCCCTGGTCCAGTAAGATCCCACATGCTGCAGAGCAACAAAGCCCGTGCGCCACAACTACTGAGCCTGTGTGCCACAACTACTGAAGACCGAGCACCTAGAGCCTGTGCTCCGCAACAAGAGAAGCCACCGCAAGAAGCCCACGCACCACAAAGAGTAGCCCCCGCTCACGCCAGCCAGCAATGAAGACCCAACACGGCCAAAAAAAAAAGCTAGTGATCTCCGATACCCTTGGACATAGTGTGTTTCTAAATTTGGAGGACCTGAAGACTTTCCTCCAGGGTTAAGCTGACTGGGCCACCAGAGTGCCCAGCTCTCAGCAAAGAAAAGGTAAGATAAACTAATTAGAGTCCCTTCAAGAATGGAAGGGTTGCACTACTGGGCATATACCCTGAGAAAACCATAATTCAAAAAGAGTCATGTACCATAATGTTCATTGCAGCACTATTTACAATAGCCAGGACATGGAAGCAACCTAAGTGTCCATTGACAGATGAATGGATAAAGAAGATGTGGCACTTATATACAACGGAATATTACTCAGCCATAAAAAGAAACGAAATTGAGTTATTTGTAGTGAGGTGGATGGACCCAGAGACTGTCATACAGAGTGAAGTCAGAAAGAGAAAAACAAATACCGTATGCTAACACATATATATGGTATCTAAAAAAAAAAAGGTTCTGAAGAACATGGGGCAGGACAGGAATAAAGATGCAGACATAGAGAATGGACTTGAGGACCCAGGGAGTGGGAAGGGTAAGCTGGGACAAAGTATGAGAGAGTGGCATGGACATATATACACTACCAAGGGTAAAACAGATAGCTAGTGGGAAGCAGCCACATAGCACAGGGAGATCAGCTCCGTGCTGTGTGTCCACCTAGAGGCGTTGGGTAGGGAGACAAGAGGGAGGAGATATGGGGATGTATGTATAGCTATAGCTGATTCACTTTTTTTTTTTTCCAAGATGCAGAGAAGATTTATTTCGTACAAGAGCATAAAAGACATAAATAGAAGACTATGTGTGTGTGTGCGTGTGTGTGTGTTTTCTGGAAGTGGGGGTCATGGATGTCAGGCCTGGAAATATGTGAGGTAGGAAGTGACATGACAAGCCAGGCCCGTGAGATCAGGTGGGCAAGCCTAGCACCTGAGGTTTGAGCCAAAGAAGGTGGCCTAGTGATCAAGGGACACCGTGGTGAGCCTGACCCCAGGGCAGTGGTCCTGGTTGTGATTCACCTTGTTACACAGCAGAAACTAACACACCATTGTAAAGCAATTATACTCCAATAAAGATGTTAAAAAAAAAAAAAAAAGAATGTAAGGGTTGAACCAGTGCCCTGGCAGGTCCCATCCAACTCAACACTAAAAAAAAAAGAAAAACAAAGTTACAAGAGATTCAGAATGCTGAGTTGTGAAAGCCGAAGGCTAACCAAAGAGCCCCAGGACTTACTGGAATCCTGCTTTTAAATTTTGCTTCAAACACCTTCCCCTGAATCTGCACTACAGGTATCACTGATTTTCTGTGAGGACAAGAAGCAACTAAGAAATTAAGTCAATTGAAGGTTGTGAGTATTATTACCTGAGGGTGCGGGGAGATTCAAAATAAAGAAATAAATAAGATACACTGGAAACAGAATCCAGAAGAAAGGCGGTCTCTCTTGCACGAGAAGTCTGCATTTGGAAAACACAGGAGGTAGGGATCAAAGCCGCTCCCTCTCCAGCCACCTGCCCAGAAACTGCCCGAGCGCCGGCCCAGCACCGTCGGGGCAAGTGGGCACGTGTCTCTCCTCTAAACCAACGGGCGCTCCGAGGGACCGGGTTACGGTGGCGGGCTCCCCGCGCGCGTCTCACCAGGCGCTGGGGCGGCGGGGAGCCAAGGGAGAGCCCTCCGCCACCTCCGCCCAGCCCAGCCCTAGAGCCCGCCGCCGCGCCGCGAAGGATGCCCGGGTCACCTGAGCCACCGCGTCCTCAGCACGGCCGAGCGGGAGATAGGACAGAAGGTGAGCCAGGTGGTTCCCGGGCCCGAGCGCTGGGTATCCCGGCGCCAGAGCGACCGGCGGGAGACTGCGCCCCGGCAGCCCGGCGGGCCAGCCTCTAGCCCTCCGCAGCCCGCCCAGACCCCCCTCTCCGCCTGCCCCCGCTGGGCCCCGCTGCGTGCTCACCTCGCGTGGACCTCTGCAGCCCGGACGGCCGCGCACGCGGACATACCCCCGGGGCGCGCCCACCGTGCCGCGTCCCCGCGCGGTGGCCCCTTCCGGGGCCCCAGGCGCCGCGGTCCGCGCGTCCGAGGCGCGGGGAGCGGACTGGGCGGGGGCGCCGGCGGTGCTGGGGCGGGTACCCCGCGGGCAGCGCGAGCAGCGCGGGAGGCGGAGAGCGTGGCGGGGAAAGTCCCCGCGCTCGGCCTCTGAAATGCACCAGCAAGTTCAGCGTCCAGAGCTCTGCCGTGCACTCTCTGGCCGGCGGGTGAATGGGATTTATCCCTGAGATCCGCTCTACGAGCCGCGGCTTCGCGAGGGGTGAGGGGCGCGCGGGAGGAGGGCCGCCTCGCGGTTATGTAATGAACCGGCCCTCCGTGACCCGAGCCAGCTCGCTCTGGGACGGCCCGACCCTCCCTGGCAACTGCAGTGCATGCCCCTGACCTAGGCAAGCAGAGGGGGCCGGGTGTTCTCAGAAAGAACTTTCCCCTGCAGGCTCAAAGAGCAAGCTCTGGAAAAGGAATCCAAGGACTCTCTTGGGTGTATCCGGCAGGGATCTGGACTCTGCCATACAACCCGTCCCATTTCACAGCACAGGGAACTGAGGGCCCAAAGTGTTTAAAACGCTGTTTCTTATTGTTAGATGGACCTAGATTCAACTCTCCTGAAAACCTCATGACCTTAGGCAAGTTACTTAAATCTCCGAGCCTTTCTTCACCTATAAAACGACGATAATAATAGTGTCCACTTCCTGTGCTTGCTGAAGAGGACAAAATAAATGAGGCACAGGAGTCCGGTACGTACGTAACACACCCCCAGTAAAAGTTACGGCTGCTCCTTGTGCTAAGGTTCGCCCGACTCTCCAAACGTCGCCCTAAAGTCGGCTGTCTCACTGGCCTAAGGAGCTGCCCGAGGGACCTTCCTGTAAATTATGCTCCCCATTAGAAGCAAAGTCTCCGAACTGACTAGGTCTGATTCCAATTTCTTGGGTTCTACATCCTTGCTACTCAACAGCATCGTCATCTGGGACGTTGCTAGAGATGCAAAATCTCAGGCCCAACCCCAGAGCCGTTTAACAAGAATCCCTAGGTGATTTAGTCGGTTGTACTTCAAAGTTTCAAAGTGAGTAAGGCTTTTTAGAAAATTTGAGAAGGGGACTAGAAAGTTATGGCTCAGTGGCCACACAATACCTTAGGGCATTTAAAAAATAGGCTGCTAAAGACCTTCCTCATTTTACCCCCCCGCTATTTTGTCTCTTTACCCCCTCCCCAGTTTCCTGCTCTTTAACTATAAAATCTGGATTGAGCTCCTCTTTTCACCTGCAGAAAGCTCTGGATTACATCTAAGTAATGATTAGTGAAGCTACCTCTAAAACACACAGAAGAATTAGCAAATACGAACTGTAAAAGAATTCATTAGCATTGAAAATGTACTTAAAATGTTGAAGCAGCTGTAAGTCCTGAGCTTTCATCTGTGAAGGTCTTTAGGTTAAAGACTTGAATACTTTTGCAGTTCAGAAAAATACTTATCTTAGTTAAACATTGCTTTGGGTGGTCAAGAAGACCCAATTTCCACTTTAATGTAGGACAACCAGTTATTTCTTTTTTCTTCTTTTTTTTTTCTTTTACATCTTTATTGGAGTATAATTGCTTTACAATGGTGTGTTAGTCCCTGCTTTATAACAAAGTGAATCAGCTATACATATACATACAACCCCATATCTCCTCCCTCTTGCGCCTCCCTCCCACCCTCCCTATCCCACCCCTCTAGGTGGTCACAAAGCACAGAGCTGATCTCCCTGTGCTATGTGTCTGCTTCCCATTAGCTATCTATTCTACATTTGGTAGTGTATATATGTCCACAGCAATCTCTACTTCGTCCCAGCTTACCCTTCCCACTCCCCATGTCCTCAAGTCCATTCTCTATGTCTGCATGTTTATTCCTGTCCTGCCCCTAGGTTCTTCATATCCTTTTTTTTTTTTTAGATTCCATATATATGTGTTAGAATATGGTATTTGTTTTTCTCTTTCTGACTTACTTCACTCTGTATGACAGTCTCTAGGCCCATCCACCTCACTACAAATGACTCAATTTTGTTTCTTTTTATGGCTGAGTAATATTCCATTGTATATATGTGCCACATCTTCTTTATCCATTCATCTGTTGATGGACACTTACATTGCTTCCATGTCCTGGCTATTGTAAATAGAGCTGCAATGAACATTATGGTAGATGACAATTTTTGAATTATGGTTTTCTCAGGGAATATGCCCAGTAGTGGGATTGCTGGGTCATATGGTAATTCTATTTTTAGTTTTTTAAAGAACCTCCATACTGTTCTCCATAGTGGCTGTATCAATTTACATTCCCACCAACAGTGCAAGAGGGTTCCCTTTTCTCCACACCCTCTCCAGCATTTATAGTTTGTAGAATTTTTGAATATGGCCATTCTGACTGGTGTGAGGTGATACCTCATTGAAGTTTTGATTTGCATTTCTCTAATGATTAGTGATGTTGAGCATCATTTCATGTGATGGTTGGTAATCTGTATATCTTCTTTGAAGAAATGCCTGTTTAGATCTTCTGCCCATTTTTGGATTGGGTTCTTTGTTTTTTTGATATTGAGCTGCATGAGCTGCTTGTAAATTTTGGAGATTAATCCTTTGTCAGTTGCTTCATTTGCAAATATTTTCTCCCATTCTGAGAGTTGTCTTCTTGTCTTGTTTATGGTTTCCTTTGCTGTGCAAAAGCTTTTAAGTTTCATTAGGTTCCATTTGTTTATTTTTATTTCCATTTCTCTAGGAGGTGGGTCAAAAAGGATCTTGATGTGATTTATGTCATAGAGCATTCTGCCTATGTTTCCTCTAAGAGTTTTATCGTGTCTGGCTTTACATTTAGGTCTTTGATCCATTTTGAGTTTATTTTTGTGTATGGTGTTAGAGAGTGTTCTAATTTCATTCTTTTACATGTAGCTGTCCAGTTTTCCCAGCACCACTTACTGAAGAGGCTGTCTTTTCTCCATTGTATATTCTTGCCTCCTTTATCAAAAATAAGGTGACCATATGTGCGTGGGTTTATCTCTGGGCTTTCTATCTTGTTCCATTGATCTATATTTCTGTTTTTGTGCCAGTACCACACTGTCTTGATTACCATAGCTTTGTAGTATACTCTGAAGTCTGGAAGCCTGATTCCCCCAGCTCAGTTTTTCCTTCTCGGTATTGCTTTGGCTATTCGGGGTCTTTTGTGTTTCCATACAAATTGTGAAATTTTTTGTTCTACTTCTATGAAAAATGCCAGTGGTGGGATTCCCCGGTGGTGCAGTGGTTGAGAGTCCACCTGCCGATGCAGGGGACACGGGTTTGTGCCCCAGTCCAGGAAGATCCCACATGCCGCGGAGCAGCTAGACCCGTGAGCCATGGCCACTGAGCCTGCACGTCCAGAGCCTGTGCTCCGCAATGGGAGAGGCCACAACAGTGAGAGGCCCAAGTACCACAAAAAAAAAAAAAAAAAAAAAATGCCAGTGGTAGTTTGATAGGGATTGCATTGAATCTGTACATTGTTTTGGGTAGTATAGTCATTTTCACAATGTTGATTGTTCCAATCCAAGAACATGGTATATCTCTCCATCTGTTTGTATCATCTTTAATTTCTTTCATCAGTGTCTTATAGTTTTCTGCATACAGGTCTTTTGTCTCCTTAGGTAGATTTATTGCTAGGTATTTTATTCTTTTTGTTGCAATGGTAGATGAGAGTGTTTCCTTAATTTGTCTTTCATATTTTTCATCATTAGTGTATAGAAATGCAAGAGATTTCTGTGCATTAATTTTGTATCCTGCTACTTTACCAAATTCATTGATTAGCTCTAGTAGTTTTCTGGTAGCATCTTTAGGATTCTCTATGTATAGTATCTTGTCATCTGCAAACAGTGACAGCTTTATTTCTTGTTTTCTGATTTGGATTCCTTTTATTTCTTTTTCTTCTCTGATTGCTGTGGCAAAAACTTCCAAAACTATGTCGAATAATAGTGGTGAGAGTGAAGAAGACAGCAACCTTGTCACGTTCCTGATCTTAGAGGAAATGGTTTCAGTTTTTCACCAGTGAGAATCATGTTGGCTGTGGGTGTGTCATAGATGGCCTTTATTATGTTGATGTAAGTTCCCTCTATGCCTACTTTGTGGAAGGTTTTTATCATAAATGGATGTTGAATTTTGTCAAAAGCTTTTTCTGCATCTATTAAGATGATCATATGGTTTTCTCCTTCAATTTGTTAATATGGTTTATCATATTGATTGATTTGCATATATTGAAGAATCCTTGCATTCCTGGGATAAACCCCACTTGATCATGGTGTATGATCCTTTTAATGTGCTGTTGGATTCTGTTTGCTAGTATTTTGTTGAGGATTTTTGCATCTATGTTCATCAGTGATATTGGCCTGTAGTTTTCTTTCTTTGTGACATCTTTTTCTGGTTTTGGTATCAGGGTGATGGGGGGCTTGTAGAATGAGTTTGGGAGTGTTCCCCCCTGTGCTATATTTTGGAAGAGTCTGAGAAGGATAGATGTTAGCTCTTCTCTAAATGTTTGATAGAATTCACATGTGAAGCCGTCTGGTCCTGGGCTTTTGTTTGTTGGAAGATTTTAAATCACAGTCTCAATTTCAGTGCTTGTGATTGGTCTGTTTATATTTTCTATTTCTTCCTGGTTCAGACTTGGAAGGTTGTACTTTTCTAAGAATTTGTCCATTTCTTCCAGGTTGTCCATTTTATTGGCATAGAGTTGCTTGTAGTAATCACTCATGATCCTTT